TATACTGCTCTCTTAGTCAGTTAGTGTTAACACAACAGATTGTATTCAGTAACTCTGTGATGTATCAGATTAATGTGTGGGAAAACCCTGGAGTCAGCCAGGACATTTAGAGAAATGTGTTGCCATGGTAATGATGCTATCAAAACATGCATCCTCATCCAGGTGATGCCATGCCTCAGGAGGACTGCACTGTAACATCATACTTTAAAATCCATTTATGACTTTCATACATTTAATATATGGAGAATGTAATAAATTAATCATTTGATTCGCTTTCAGTAATCCCTTGAGCAAGATGTTAGAAGGTTAAAATATAATGGTAGTTAGTTTGAGATTTCTCAATTAGTCCCCCTGGTTTGGGTGATACAATTAGTCCCCCTGGTTTGGGTGATACAGTAGTGGATCAGGATTTGTTAACAGTAGTGGATCAGGATTCGTTAACAGTAGTGGATCAGGATTCGTTAACAGTAGTGGATCAGGATTCGTTAACAGTAGTGGATCAGGATTCGTTAACAGTAGTGGATAACAGTAGTGGATCAGGAGGATCGTTAACAGTAGTGGATCAGGATTCGTTAACAGTAGTGGATAACAGTGGATCAGGATCCGTTTAGGATCAGGATTCTTTTAGTGGATCAGGATGGATCAGAGTTAACAGTAGTGGATCAGTTAACAGAGTGGATCAGGATTCTTTTAACAGTAGTGGATCAGTTAACAGTGGATCAGGATTAACAGTAGTGGACAGTAGTGGATCAGGATTTGTTAACAGTAGTGGATCAGGATTTTGTTAACAGTAGTGGATCAGGATTCGTTAACAGTAGTGGATCAGGATTCGTTAACAGTAGTGGACAGTAGTGGATCAGGATTCGTTGACAGTAGTGGATCAGGATTCGTTAACAGTAGTGGATCAGGATTCGTTAACAGTAGTGGATCAGGATTCGTTAACAGTAGTGGATCAGGATTCGTTGACAGTAGTGGATCAGGATTCGTTAACAGTAGTGGATCAGGATTCGTTAACAGTAGTGGATCAGGATTGGTTATAGCTTGGGTTATTGCTTGTCTTCTGAGTGTGGAATAGTAGTTCACTCACTGGATTATCTGCTCCAGGCTTAATATATTTACATGCTGCTGTAATTTAAAAGGAACTGTGATTAATAATAATGCTAATTTTTGAGCCTAGAATCCAACACGATGCTGCTCTCTGGCGTTACATTATTACCCTGACGGAATTGTACTTTCAAAGCTGCTACTAAGAGCTAAGCGAGACCGTATAGGTCCGTACATCTGCTTTTCAGGTACCCATTTTGAACCAGCTGGGTGGACTGAGTGCAAGCTAACCACTACAGTGCCTTGCCTTGTTATACAACACGTGCATGAGCACAGGTCACAAAAGCATTAAACCAGCCCCAATCAATTACAGGTAATTAACTGACATGAGTAAGTGAGGAAGGTAACCACTACACCACCTGTTAGGGGCTGTCAGAACATGTAGGCAGGTCAGCAAACACTATAACCGTGTCCCCTTAAAGGGCCTGTCAGTATGTAGGGTAGGTCAGGTAACCGTGTTCCCTGTTAGGGGCTGTCAGTATGTAGGGTAGGTCAGCAAACACTATAACCGTGTCCCCTGTTAGGGGCTGTCAGTATGTAGGGTAGGTCAGCAAACACTATAACCGTGTCCCCTGTTAGGGGCTGTCAGTATGTAGGGTAGGTCAGCAAACACTATAACCGTGTCCCCTGTTAGGGGCTGTCAGTATGTAGGGTAGGTCAGCAAACACTATAACCAGTCTCTTCAACATGATGATACAACCACAACATTATCATAGATCACTATCTGACCTTACGACACTTTTAAAGGTACACAGTCAGATTTTTAAAACATTTGTATTGTTTTTAGACACTGAATTATAATTGTTATGAAGAACCAAATAACAACCTAGGACATCATTTAACCACCACTGTGCGAGATATTGGGCATGACGTCATTCCAAGCTGGTGATAAATAAAGTGGATTATCTGCAACAGATTGCATAAAGGATCCATAGCACTGAGAAGAATGAATGTATATAACAATATTCATAAGTCAGGCCAGTCTGACCCTGCAGGCTTGACAATACAGCAGCTGTAGTATAAAGGAAAACTAAGTTCTATGGATAGTCAACTTCTTTATGGCAATGAGTGCGACGTTTCGGTGTAGGTACTAACACTGTTATCAAGCAGGTGATGAGTACCTACCTGAGTTTTCCTTCATCTATACAACTTGTAAAATGCCTCTCAAAGAAGCTGTAGTATAGTGGACCATTGCTCAGACTGTGGTATGAAATGCCGTCAAACAATTCAAATGACTTGACAGTTACATCATGAACACTGTTCACATACTTTCTTCACAAAACCAACAATGTTGCATTATCTAACAACGCACATGTCCAAGACCAACCACTTTCAAGCATACGTTAGAAAACATTCAGAAATCTTTATGGTCCTTAACATTTGTTAGCCTACCAGACTGTGGTGGACATCAGTGACAGAATGTGTTCGTTTGGCATTTGATAAGACTCATTTTGCAGCTATTAATGTTTATAAAACTACCTGAGTAGACAAAATATACCTTTTGAGGAGATGCAGCTCGTTAAGGCCATAGGAACAAAAATAACATGATCCTATCTTACATCTTTGAGATGATATGAATCTTGGCTGTGAAGGCCATATTGTTCATAAGACGAGGTCTCATCCTTCACTGCAGGAGGTCAATTTAACCCAGATCTTCTGGAACCCCTGTATTATGATGGCAGGATTCAGCATCTTTCTAGGGTAGAATGAGTTTGAGGATTCATCATGATTGTCCCAAAATGATGTCATAGATGGGTAATCCCTGTCTACAGAGGACACCTTGCTGAATCAGATGTGAGACGCGCCTCGTCTTCCTCTATAACTAGTATCACTGTATCTATTGTAACATAATGGGATGATGGCCGCAAGATAAACCCACTCGTAACGGTGGATGCAAATTATATTTGGGACCATTAACTGAATATTTGTCAACTTAAGTTGTTTACTTCAGTAGGTTTAATGGTTAAATATTTTATCTCTATGTTTAAATTTTCCAGACTACCCTTCTGTTATCTGTGGGGAGTAGGGGTTTAGATTGGTCTCTTGCAGTTGGTACTGGTCGTGAGGGGTGACTGAAAGACAGACAGAGGCAGTACTGAAAAACCTGGTTTCAACTGAATGGATTTTTACAACTAAACATTTTTATTCAGTTACTCATTTTTTCTTCTGTTTTATCTTTTATTCACTTAAACATCAAAGTACAGAGACATCTGCTGATGTGCACAAGCTGGGGACTGAAGTGAGCTCTGCCTGCCTTGAGTGGGCGCCCAGTTATCAAACACCCAACAAAGTGACTTATTGTAGTCGGTACTGTGTTGACTATTCCTACGTATAGAGAGTTGGATGCGTGCTCCTCAAAGTACGCTGACAGTTCACTGTCAAAAGATTCCAGTTGACGTACAGTCAGGATGTATGTGACAAATGTTTTTTTTTCATATTTATTCATGTCTCCCGGGCGCACGTCAATTCAGTAAACGTTTTTGCAGTTGACTCATGCTGAGTTGGGACCTAGTTTAATCTGAGCAGAGCTTCAGGAAGGTCCTCTGTAACAATAAACCTGTCACTGTGGGGTTCTGGGGACTGTCTAACTGAAACTTGAACTTTGTTGGTGAGGTAAAACAGATTGGAGTATATTTATGGTCGTTTTGTAAATTGTCAGTGTTTTATAACAGTCTCCTACTTGAAACTGTCACCAAGCATGAAACGATGTGGTGGACACTTGAAGATTGAATACGTTTGTTGCTCAATAATTGTCATGTAAAATATGTGAGTGCCGTTATATGGTGGGTTTGCAATATGATATGTATCATGGTACTGTGGGTGCAATATGATATGTATCATGGTACTGTGGGTGCAATCTGATATGTATCATGGTACTATGGGTGCAATATGATATGTATCATGGTACTATGGGTGCAATGACTATATGTATCATGGTACTATGGGTGCAATATGATATGTATCATGGTACTATGGGTGCAATGACTATATGTATCATGGTACTATGGGTGCAATATGATATGTATCATGGTACTATGGGTGCAATATGATATGTATCATGGTACTATGGGTGCAATATGATATGTATCATGGTACTATGGGTGCAATATGATGTATCATATGTATCATGGTGCGATGACTATATGTATCATGGTACAGTACTTCCATTTATTAGTTTTTCTAAACCACAACCTTGGATAAAGACACATGTCATGACAAAGATTCCCAAACTCTTTAATGTATTTATTTAAAACATGTTGAGGGGAGTTTATCTAAGGTTGTTACTCATTTATACATAACTAACTGATCAACAACCAACTAACTGGCAAACACTCTGAATATTCACTGAGAATAAAACAAATTCAGTTTCATTTCACGTTTTAAACCTTTTTGCACCCCGTGCAGTGTCAGGTAATATACTTGTTGCTAAAAACAAAGTCAAGTTTAGCACTCTTTGCTTCTTTGAAAAACCTTATTAAGGCAAGTTTTTACATCAGTTTGACCTCTTTTGGTCCCTGTCCATGTCTGTCTTCCTGGTGTCACAGCCTCTCACTTTAGTTTGCAAATATGGCCGGTGTTTTGTAGTGATGTCAAACGGCCAAGTCTGCCTTTTGGTTTAAAGTCTCTGGAATTTGTGATCTATTAATGACAGTTTTTAAAAAAAAAATTCTTGGACATGGAAAGATAAGGTCTGTTTGTGGAAATTAGAAAACCTGACGTTATGAAAATCTGTGTCATATTAGTTTGAATGACATTAATCATTGTCAGCTGGAGTTTTTACATTGGCATTACAGTACGTGAGTTGTTGACATCGCAGATGATAAATACAGTGTGACTTCTACAAGTGAAACAACACTACAATTTATGATAATTTGTTCTACCACTGTATGTTTCAGATTGGATTACAGTCTAAGCAATGGCATTGCTTCGTGGTTCCACGTCATCAATGTGATCCTTCATTCCATTGTCACCATGCTTTTCACATACATGTGTCGGAGCGTGTTCTCCATCCCAAGAGAGTGCTCCACCACTGCGGGGCTGTTGTTTGCTGTGCACCCAGTTCACTCCGAGGCAGTAAGTACTCCTTCATACACCCTTCTCCTTGTCAGACCACAGTGCACCATTCACCATGCAGAACATCAGGCTGAATGGTTGTTGTTGTAGGCCATACGAATAAAAATATATATATAAAAATAATAAATAACAATAATAAAAGTAAATAATTAGGTGAATTCTGTTTCACACCATATTTCAGTAAATGTTTTACACCATTACAGAAAGCAGCACAATTTAGTGGATATGTTTTATACCATATTCCAGTCAGTGTTTTATATGTCAATGAGCACTATTTCTGGTATCTATGGTGTTAGATATAGTTGGATGTTCTCATATTACCATGGCTGGTGTTAAATCCTTCAATGTCCGAAAGTTACGGGAGTGTCAACATGGACAGGAGCATGACTGGGTCTCATCCACCCAGATAATGATCTATGCCTGTGTGTGTTGTGCTAGAGTCTGTTTGTTCTATCAATGACTTAGAGCTGCATTATTCAGAATTCTGTTCAATGTAAACCAGACACTTTCACTTCGTCAAGTATACAGTCTGTAGTTCAGTATATTGGGCAGGACCCACAATATCTGGGGCTTAAAACTATAATCTTTATGATAAACAATCTGGAAGTAAAAATGTATGTAAGAGCTTTTACAGGTTCAAGTTTTCAACTTAATTATTTAGGTTCAGGATTTTATTCATAAAATTTTCCTAGGTAAGTAAAAATGTCCTTGAGTATATAGTGGCATAAAGTTTGTGCCTGAGAAGATCCTGGCAAGAATTGGTCTTCAGCAACCCATGACTTATTGGGCATCAGGTTGACTGACTTGGTTGACATATGTCACTGTATCCCAATTGCTCAGATTGATGCTCATGATGTCAATCACTGGATTTTCTGATCAGTTTCGATATTTTACGGACTGACATTATATAGCTGAGAAACCGCGGAGTGCAGCATGAAACAACAAACAAAGATTGTGTGTAAATTACCACCTTAGATGGCCTTTAGTTACCATTTTACAAAGCACATGTGGTCTCACCTTAGGCAAGTGAGTTTGTTCAAACTTGCCTCTGTTCACCCAGCAGAAAATGGGTACCCGGTGGGATAAGTCATGTGACTATTAACCTTCTAGTTCCTCACAGGCAGCTTGAGTTATCGGGGATAGTAATAATCTCATTGTATGTTTGCGCTTTTAGCATGTGCCTTGTACATGGAAAAGGCGCATTATAAATTCACATTTATTATTGTTATTACCATTTGAATGTACAGTATAAACTCCTAAGAAATATATAACACAGGAAGCATTTTTCACATATATTTTTATGACCTGTTAGCACTTGAAGACATTCATGGTCATATTTATGGATTCATATACAGATAAGTCTTGGCCTCAGTCAGTGGACAAAGCTATCAAATTCTCATAGAATTTTGCCTTTCAGGTACTGCACGGTTTGTCTCTAATATGAGAAGATATTTGAAACTTGTTGAAACTATTATGCAAACATGAATCACAAAGAATAGGCATTGAATATGACAGTCTGAATATGATGAATTTCAGCTGAGTTGTACTTGAAGAAATATAATAGCTGTAACCATTTAATGACAGATTCAACTTTTACAGCCTGTCATTTGTAAACCTTTTACAGATCAAGACATGTATTTCATTTAAACAGATTCATTTTTACAATCTGTCATTCATAATAGTCGTACAGGAACTATGTTTGTCTTTGAATGGCGTGCTGAACTGAAACACATGCTATCCATACATTTTCTTAGTTAACTACGTATAAGTCATGCATTTGATGCACATTCCAGGCGTTATTCAATATTTTATATTGACGTCATGAACCTATAATATGAAAAAGTAAAACATGCTGATGTCAAGAGAATATTGACATTTCTTTACATGGCATGTTCAGCGCACAGAGATTCATAAGTAATAGCTTGTACTCTAAAGGAGTTCATATAAAAGTGTGACGTTTAATAGAAAGCCACTGTCTGCTGTATTCAGGGGTTTGTAATGGTTTTTCACACAAGTAGATATTCAATATTTTTTCAGTTTTGTAAAATTGTGTTTAGTTCATGTTTGAATAACTTTAATGGCATGAAAGTGAAAAGTTTAATACAGATAATGTTGAATAACATAAGAACCATGTACATAAAACTCTACCTGTTATACAAAACCAGGTCACAATTTGTTCTGTGTCAACTGCTGACGTTCAGATCTTTTATCTTGCATCAGCTCTAGAGTTTTGTGGAAATCTTATTCAACACTAAAGGTAGTTCACAGTATTGAAGGCATGACAGTACAGACAGTCGGCCAGGGATTGCCTGAAAAGGAACCTTTCATAACAATTTGAAATACTCATGCATTGATTTGAATGGTGATAGATAACAGGGAATTACCCGTTAAGAGTTTGAACATTCTTGAACCTTTTTTATGAGAAGTAATAAAGTAGCTTTTATGGCATGTACAATGCCAGCCCTGTATGTGTGAGGAATGAATATCTCCACATTTTACATAATGCCATATATATAAAGATCAGTATTCAAGATCTGGAGGAAAAGAAATTATTGGATTGAATGTAGGTAGGAATGGCATAAGACGAACAGACCTAGCCAGGGTGGTGTAAAACAATCTCTCAGATCAAGATATTTCTTACGTGCAGTGATTATAACACTGCCATTGCTCCCATTTCCTTGACTCCATCTCCTGGGTCTGATGAGACTGATGCCTAGAGACATAAGGTGATCAATGTTGCTGATATGGACTCTGATTGACTGTAGAAAGTAAAGTTAAGAAGTCCAACTAAAGTCTGGCACGTTAGATTGCCTCAGATCCAGACCTGTATTAAGAATTCTTCTTAGAATTAAGATTTATTTAGTTTATTTTGTAGATTTATATTTTAAACAAGACATTTTTATTTCTGGAAATTTTCATTTTGGAAGATGTCATTTTGCGAACTAGATTGGATGCAGACTGCAAAACTCAAAGATGTGATTCAAATTGTAAAGTTATATTTTCAAAGATTTAATCAATCTTTTTTGGGAATTGATTTGAAGAAGAAAATATTCTGTTTGTTGTTGTTTAGCTTCTTGGTTGCCCCAACTCAACATGTTAGGTAGTAGATAGTGGTACTGGTAATAGTCAGTATTATCTTGACATACTGATGTCAGTATATTTATGTCAATAAACGGAGGATGCATTAAAGAAACTGTCCGTGCAGCTACACGTCAAATGAGGCATTCAGTACCGGTACATTCATTCTAAATGTCATTAAATTTGTTTGAAAAAGTGACAGTGGGGTTGCTAAATGGTTAAAGCGTTCGCTCGAGTCACCATAGGCATGGGTTTGATTCCCATATGAGTACAATGTGTGAAGCCCATTTAAGCCCAACTGTAATATTCCTGGAATATTGCTAAAAGCGGTAATAAAACAAACCTCACTCACTCATTGTTGGAAACAGAGTCATCCAATTATCACTTCAGGTAATCAGAATTGCATATGACATGCTTGCTGCTTCTGATTATACCTGCTGGTTGTCTGTGGGTGTTGATCCACGTCGTGACGACAGTGTTTGCACTCAAGGACATGATGTCTCAGTTCAACAGAGAAAGACCGCATTGTTCACTGATCCCAAAAGTATGTTTCGTCATCACTTGTCTCACCAATGCGGCGACATGCTTCTGAACCGAGTCGAGGAAGTTGTTGTAAATTATGACACACGCAGATATTGATGAATAGGCTGCAGATGAGCTCTGAGAAAAGATGCAGATAATGATACAAGAGGTTCAAACTTGAATGAATTTGAACAAAACTTTAGGAGATGCCGTGCAATTATATTTTTTGTTTTGATCCTTGTTTTCATGGTACATTTATTTCTGTAGATAAAAAGTCACAACTAAATTGCTATCAGGATTTAGGTTGATATGTACATGTTTATTTAAAAAAATATTTCTTCTGATATTGTTTGAGACGTGTAATGAATAAGACTTTTATGCAGAGCTGTAGCAACTAGCTAGGATAACTCTTTATTTGTGGTAGTTTAGCTGTGTCTCATACTATCATTGTCAGCAATTCTTAGATGCTTTGCTAACAGATCAAGGAGCCGACATTACTTTAGGCGATAAAGTACACTTTATGCATTATGTCACACTGTATTGACGTCACTACACCATTCTCATCTGCCCCCTCGTAATCAAACGTACTCTTGGTAACTGACGACACGATGCATGTCAGTTGTCAATGCCCAGTACAGTCTCCTACAGTGCAATGAACTCCATAGCACCCTGTTTCTTGATTTGCAGTTGCTTCAGTTGGTTCACATCACAGTTGGAAACATTACATTTAACTTTTTGATGGAAAAAACTGTCTCAGCTTGACATAAACAGCGATACAGCAATGTTCGCTAACTAAGCCCATGTCAACAGTCCCACAATGCCTCTGTGGAATGACTAGTTAGCTTCCTCTGGATATACTGATCTAAACACATATTGAAGTAGAAATGTGGTGCAAGTGAACTCGTCCTTTAACTATAATAGTTCAGGGCAAAAGTGTGCTTTTACACTATACATGGGGGCTAATTGTATTTCTTAAACTGAAGTCGCTATATGGCATAAACAATGTTGATGTGATGTTTAATTTTAACTCACTCACTCTTCTAAGTTGAAGCATGTTACAAAAAATACAACAGCCCTAAAACAGGCCGAGTTACTTATATGGTTGTCCTTTGTAATACCTTCTAGGATTTGTTCTACTCTTTTGGGAAACCTGAAGGACTTGTTGGTAAAAGAAGGTAACCAGTGCTGGTTGTAGGAGGTGGCCATATTGATTGGTTGTGTGTCACTGTTACCTCACGACCTGCATGTTACTCATTATATCAAGCACTGGATTGTCTGGTCCAGGCTTGATTATCTACAGGTTGCTGTCACATTGCTGGAATATTACTGTGTGGTGTTCAACAAACAAGTGATTAATGTTAAATCATGTAATGCAATAAATACTGATGATACTGATGTCA